GAGATAAGTTATTTTTATTTTGTCCAGAGAAATTATCACAAGTTGTATGCAATTTTTTTTTACCATTCTTTGCAAATATTTGCAGAGCTTGATAAACTAAATTCAAAGTAGTATTTGCTCCTTTAGATGTGCCTTGAGGAAGCTCATCTTCTCCTATTAAAAAATTCAATTGTTTATTTATTCCTCCTTCAGTTTTACAAACTCCAAATAAATGAACAGCATAACCTGATAAAGGAATGGTGACATTTTGTGCCCAATCATAACAAATATGTGCAATTGATAAATCATTTTTACTTAATTCAATATTATTATTATATTCATCAATATTTCTTTTTGCTAATTGCAATTTTGATTTAAATTGAACACAATTATCACACAAATCACTTACAAGAGGCTGAAATTTTAAATTAGGCATTAGTTCATTCCATAATCTTCTAAAAGAATTGTAAGAAATAATTTTTTCCTCTTTTAAATCATTTTCAGATTCAACTTTCAAAATATTTTCTAAATAAAATTCTTTAAATTCTTTATACACAGATATAAATCTTTTATCAGTAGGAAGATAAATAAATGCTCCAGAATCATTTCTATGTCTCATTGGTGAAGGTAACCCATGTATTAAAGAATATTGATTTAGAAAATTTCTTACAATGAATTTTAAATTTTCATCAATATTGACTTTAGTTTTATATATAGGAGCTCTTCCTGTGTTTCCATGAATTCATTCACTTATTCCTTCATTGTGTAAATGTTCTACAATATTTTTAAATTTATGATTGCTTATATTATATAACATTAAAAATGCTGTTTGGCAAAGAGAGTATGTTGAATTAAAGCAAAATCTATAATTTGTTCTCTGAATAATTTTTTCAGAAGACTTTAAATTTTTGTTTTCTATTTCCATTGCTAAAAGTTGTGCTTTCAAAAATAAATCTAATTCTTTGTTAGTTAAATTAATGATTTGAAAATGTCTGAAAAAATTTTTTAAATCCAATTTTTTCAAAGCAAGTTCTAATGTCTTTTTGTTTTTCAAGAACACAGCAAGTACAACTTGTTGGATGTTCAAAAAAATTTTTAAATTATGAATAATTTCTTGAATACTTTTGTAATCACCATATTCTTCTAAACCAAGTTCAAATAAATCATAAAAATATTGAGAAGTTTCTTGACTAGTTTGTAAATAAAAAAATTTTTTTGTGGGACAAAAAAGGGGTTAGTAATTTATTTTTAGAGTCAAAAATCAGGGAGGACCTCCGGGAAAAAAGGGGTTTTTTGCTAGCATGGAACCCATGTTATGATATACAATTTAAAGGCAATGGAAGAAAATAATAATTCATACGAGAAAAATGAAAATCCAAATGCTTCAAATACAAGAATAATTCCAACTACTTTTCTAGATCTACTTAATAATACTCTCGACGATGCTGATTTAGTTCATTTGTTAGCTGAAGCTTCCATAAAAGTAACCCCTGAATTTACTGCTGCAACTTTGTCTGATGAGGACGAAGAAGAGGATACAATATTTATACATGATGATACTTTTGGCAACGATAACGATGATTTATCAGATGATGAGACAAATCAACTTGCCGATGAAAATTTTGGGTAAATTAATTAAATGGTATAATGATAATGGTTTATGTCTATCGTATAATAGTAATTATTAATAATATATAATCATAGACGATTATTATCTCAAGCACAAGCAATTGGAAGTGACCTTACTACTGGAACTGTAGCTCCACATTTATGGCAAAATTTGGAACAAGAATGGAGTGAATTTAATCAAGATTTAAGACTTACCAGTGGAATTGGTAAAATTAAAAAGGGAAAGGTGAATTTATGATCCATGAATTTAATCATCAATATTAATTGTTATTTTAAGAAAACAATAATTAACTAATTAATTAAATAGCGAGGTCCTCGAAATCATGCACTCCCACCAACTTTACGTGCTAAAGTAGGAGAAGCTAACCTGCATTATGTCAATAGAGACTATCCAAAAGCTATTGAGGTGCTTCAAGAGGTAATAAAAATTGATCCAAACATTCATTCTGCTTGGTTTACACTTGGAACAATACAAGATGAAATTGGATGTCCAGAAAAGGCCTTACAATTGTATTTGGTTGCTGCCCATTTAACACCTCATGATGGTGCATTATGGAAAAGATTAGGTTCACTAAGCAAGTTAGTTTTTTTTCTTTTTGTTATTATTATTATTTTAAAACAAATATTTTATCTTTTGTTTTAACATTCTATATATGTGTATGCGTGTTTATTATATAAGAGATCACAGTGCTGTACATCAAGCTATTTATTGTTTCTCTAAAGCCATAAGATGTGATCCTAATGATGTGGATGCTATTTGGGATAGGTCTATGCTCTATGCTGAAATTGGAGAATACAAAAAGGCATAGAATTGATTTTCAATCAGTGTTTTCCGTTGTTTTTTTTTCTCTCTGCATAAGTATTAATGATGATACTATTGATAATATTACTATTTAAATTTAGGCAATTGATGGTTTTACTGGATTATTAGAAAAAGTGCCACATGATATGAATATATTAAGAGAAATATCAAAAATACATGTACAAACAAGCGAAATTCCTAAAGCCATTGAGCTTTATCTTGATGCATATTCATATTATCAAAATCGTCCTTTTTATGAAGATGCTGAAGCAGAAGGCAGTTTTGGATATTCAGAAATTAATATTATGGCAGAACTCTATATGCTCATAAATGATTTTGGCGGTGCAATAGAGTTCATTAAATGTGGAGTCAGATGGCTTCAAGGAAGAGAGGATGAGACATGGTGGAACAATGTCAGCGATGATCGAGAATATGATGAAGACGAAAATGCTAATCGGAAAGATAATTCTTTTATTTTAGCTGGCGCTAGACGTCAAGGAGTTTTTAGTAGTGGTGGTTCAAATGCACCATTACCATTGGAATTAAGAATAAAATTAGGCATAAGTAGAATCTGTATGGATGAATTGGAAGAAGGAAAAGTATGTATTGATGATGATGATGATATTTGTTTTTCTCATTTATTTATATTCTATAATTATTAATTAATCTATAATTTTTGTTGATTAGTTGCATTTAAATTATCTCAAGTTATATGATGTTAAACAATACATTGATTTATATTATGAGGTGGCTGAAACTTATGCTGAAAAAGGCTTATTTGAAGATGCATTGACAACATATGAAGCTATATTGCTTAATTCCGAGGTAATTGATTGTTCATCAATGCCATGACATATTTATCTATACATTTTTATTTGTAAGTTGTTACATTTTTTTAAAAATAATAATAATAATAATAGACAAATAATCCAACTGCGTGGATGAGAGTGGGACTATGTCATAGAGAATTAGGGAATTTTGAAAATGCTGCAGAATATTTTACCGCTGGTAAAAAATCAAATAAATATTCAATTATAGGGGTTTTTTTTGAGTAAGTGTTAATATATTTCTTTCGACATATAATTATTATAGTTGTTGAAGATTCACCAGATAATTTAGATGCTAAAATGTCACTTGCAGAGACTTATGAATTTTTAGGAGAAAATGAAAAGGCATTAGAATTGGTAAATACAGGTAAATTTAATCATTAAATCAATTAATTGCTTAATTATATAAAAGCATTTAAAAAGAAAAACATCTACTTGGTAATTACTAGTCCTTGAAGCCCGTAAATTTCAACGACAAGTAGCTGAATCCACGCCAGTAAGGGATCCCGTTGTAATATCATTATCGTCTTCTTCAAATAGCATGACTTTACAAGAAAATCAACAGTACTCATCAACAACCATGAATCAAAATTCTGGGGAGCTTATACACTCTATATCGAGAGAGACAAAAGCCAATGACCTTGCAAGATTAGAAGAAGAAAGGAAAAAACAAGAGTTAGAAAAGGAAAAAGAAACACAAATTCTTTTTCATAGATTAGATTTATTGTATCCATGTTCAGTTAATGGTGATAAAGAAGCGTCTAAAGAATATCTTGAAACAGCAAGAGGTTTAATTGAAGATTGGCAAAATAATAGAGCATTTTATCCTCCAAGAAACAAGGTTAAATAATTTTTTTGTAAATAAATTACAAAAAAAAAATTAGCATCACCTTTTAGGAATATTCTTATAATGAATATATATTTGATTAGATGGTTCCGTTTAGAGGATATGATGTAATATCATTATCGTCTTCTTCAAATAGCATGACTTTACAAGAAAATCAACAGTACTCATCAACAACCATGAATCAAAATTCTGGGGAGCTTATACACTCTATATCGAGAGAGACAAAAGCCAATGACCTTGCAAGATTAGAAGAAGAAAGGAAAAAACAAGAGTTAGAAAAGGAAAAAGAAACACAAATTCTTTTTCATAGATTAGATTTATTGTATCCATGTTCAGTTAATGGCGATAAAGAAGCGTCTAAAGAATACCTTGAAACAGCAAGAGGTTTAATTGAAGATTGGCAAAATAACAGCATTTTATCCTCCAAGAAACAAGGTTAAATAATTTTTTCGTAAATAAATTACAAAAAAAAAATTAGCATCACCTTTTAGGAATATTCTTATAATGGATACATATTTGACTAGATGGTTCTGTTTAGAGGATATGATCGATGTAAAAGTTGGAGGGAAAAACTTTATTATGAAGAAATTAAAGAATTAAAAGAAGGATATGATGCAGATATAGAAGAACAGGCAACCACAATGGCGAAGAGGCTGCAGTGGAATATAGGTTTGATTTATTACACTTATATATATGCATATATATATGTTAGTATAAAGAGTGAATGAGCAGCATACATTAATTTATATTTTTTAAAAAAGATGGACAGTTAGGTGAACTTGAAGCTGAAATACACAAGAAAATGACAGAATTTCAAGGAATAACGTTTGAAAAATGGTTTGAATTTTTTATTCAGGTAAATTAATTAATTTTATAATGTAAAAAAATTAGATGAAAAGAATTTTACATGTATTAATGATCATTTTAGTTTATAATTACAGCAACAAAAAATGGGCATGAGTCAGAAGCATATGATGTTGTTATGTTAGTATCAAAGGCAAATATTTTTTACCATAATGAACGACACAAGACTACATTCAAGGTGTTGTCACTAGGTAGAGAAAGAATCAATAAACAAAATTTCTTTTTTTAAATTGCAAATTTCAATTTTTAGAACAGATATAACTAATTAACAGGAAATTTATGAATATGCATTATTATTAGCTTGGGGACTTTATACATCAAATTATATAGTGGTTTGTGAAAGTGCAAGATGGTTATGTAACTTTAAGCCATTCAATAGCAACATATATAATTTATATAGCGCATGTTTGGCAAGGTAAAAAATTTTTGAATTAAATATGATATATTAGATAGTAATAAAATATCAATAATAACATTTATTTTAAAATACATACATATAATAGTGGATCGGGTGCATTATCATGTTTTTCAGCGGCAAATTCACAAAAATATTTTTTAAGACAAATAAAAGCAATGGATTCAGGCATTTCTGACAGTTCTCCAACGAAACCTGATGCTGGTTTGTTGACACTTTATGGACATATTTTGGGATGTTCAAGAAGTTATAATGGTGCTCTTGGTAAGTATAATAAAAATAAATAGAAGATATAGAACGTAATAGAATTTATTAATATATTAAATTAAAATTTTATTATAAGGGTATTATGCTCGAGCAGCACTTGTCAAACCAAAAGATCCTCTTGTGTGTTTTTCTATGGGTCTTGCATATTTACATCGTGCTATGCAAAGAAAAACAAGTAATCGACATTTACAAATTTTACAAGTAAAAAACTAGTTACTTGAATCAATGAATTTTTTTTTAGTTAAAAGCTCTATTCATTTTTTTTTATTCCATAAACTTGAATAGGGATTCAATTTTTTATATGAATATTATGAATTAAAAGGCAAAAATCAAGAAGCTGAATATAATTTAGGGCATGCATTTCATCAATTAGGTAATGGTTTTTTTATCTTAATAATAATAAATAAACAATCAAATAATTAATTGACTATTGTAAATTATTTTGACTTAAAGGATTAACGCATTTAGCTATACCACATTATGAAAAAGCACTTAAATTACCATCAGTAAATCAAATTTTGAAACAAAAAATTGATAAAGTTTGGATATTTTTATACGTTTATGTGTTTACATGTAATATTGATTACTATGAAACTCACTGATTATATTTGATATATATATATATATATATATATAGGGCAAGAAAAAACAATTAGAAACTGACGAAAATGAAGAAGTTGAAAATTTCGAAGAAAATGATCCTACAGATATTAGAAAAGAAGCTGCCTATAATTTATATTTAATTTATATGGAAACAGGATCTCCAGCTTTAGCTCAAATGTTATTAAAAAAATATTATGCAATATAAAAATTTATTTATTGGAATTACTGGTAGCGTTGCTTGATAGTTTATAATTCAAAAATTACATAGAGAGAGAAAGGACAAACCGAACCTCTAAAAGACTGATTAGGAACTGGAATAAAAAAAACAAACAGAATTAAAGACATTAAATTTTTTTATTTTTGGCACATAAAAATCATAGAGTGACTAATAAGATACCCAATTTCTGTTAATGAAATCTGAAGGATGGTTCTGTCCCAATATCGTAAAACACCATTAAGTCTTGTTGCACCTCATGATTGTAAATCAGACTTACATGGCATCCTTTTCATCAGTATAATAATTATATGAATGGAATTAAACTTAGGTGAACCAATGGAATGGTTTTAGGTAATGATTTAAAAGATATGATTGTGATGTAACTTGTGAAGAGAAATTGAAAAATTTGGTCAACCTCCCCATGAAAAATAATTATGGCCTAGATTTAAATTGGCTTATCATCATTAATAATCAAAAT